GAAGTAAAAACCGGTCCGTGTAGTGCGTTCTCGACTTGTTACGGACTACAACTTCTGATACGTCACTTTGCAGTATGCAAGAAACGAGTCGATGGTAAAGGTTGTCTTCGTTGCAAGAGAATGATTCAACTCCTTAGACTCCATTCTTCCGTTTGTGACCAATCTGAATCTTGCCGTGTCCCTCTTTGCAGGTAAAAAACCGACATTTTAGAATCATCAAAAACCACATTTATTTCATGTTTCTAATGATTAAAGTTTTCACTTTTCGAGTAGATTCTCTTTCGATTTTTTTTTTTGTTTAACTTTCGGCGCCAATAATAATAATATCTTTTTAGTGGTGACCTACTTATTAAATGATAAGTCATTATCGGACGGCCGGAAATATTTTGTTTTTTAAAGATATTTTGTAAATTGGAATCTAATTTCGTTGTCGACTTTTTTGATTTATTTTTGAGTAGGCAATTTAAGAAAAGAGGAGAAAAGGAGAAGAAAATGGTTGAGGACACGAAGTGGAAGGTTCTGGTGAGAAGAGTTGCGTCTGCGAAAGCAATGTCTTCGTTGTCTCAATCAAAGAAGAACAAAAGTGAAGTGTTATTAAAAGAAGAAGCAGAAGATTTCATCAGAATCCGGAAGAAGTTAATTTAATGATATTTAAATTTTGATTTCTTTTGTAGATTATACTATATATATATAATGATTGATTGTTAGAAACTAGAAGGCATTATTAGAGTCGGAAAATTTTATTTGCTTGTTTGTAATTTTTATTTGTGTCCTGGACCGGTTCTAGGGTTAAATTTGTCGATGAGTAACCCTTTTAATCTGTCGTGAAGTCGTTTGTATGGTCGAATTTATAAATAAATGTATCTTTGGCTATAATTTGGTATTAATAGCCTGTTAGGGTTTTTGAAGAATTTGTGGTAGGTCAATAGAATACAAATTGTTACGGATACAAAGTTGTTATAATCGGATTCAGTGGATTATTAATTTGAATCTAAACAATTATAATTCCGGTTTACCCTATATAAACAATTATGTGATATTCAACAACAAAAATAACAATTATGTGATACACAAATATCGTTGTTTTGTCGCTGATTGGTCTACAAAATTATATGATCCGATCGAAATGATTGTATGTATATGAATCCTAAAAAATCTAAATGATATTTTGAGGTATTTTGATTGAGTGTCCAAGTTAATTGGATCGGTCCAATCAATCACAATGATTTTAATTTTGATAAAAAGAAAAATTAGAAGGAAAAAATAGAAATGCGATATAGGAGATCAAAATTGACCAACTTGTCTTAGTCATTGGTATTAGTGGAAAGGATGATCATAATTGAGATTCAAAAGAAAACAAAGCAAATTATTAGAAACAAACATGTGCTTATTATTTTGTTACAACAGATATTTTATTGATGAGTGGAAAAAATGAAAGACGCGTGGGAAACAGAAGAACCACATAATGTGGTTTCTTGTCTCATGTCTCACATTCTAATTCATACTGCTTAACTACCATATGAATGCAACTAATTTTTAAAGGTTACAAGATTTTGTTCTGTTTTAAATGGTTTAATAACCGGATTGATAAAATCCGGGCGAGTTACAAATCTTTTCACCAAAAGTTTCTTTCAATTCAATGGTAATTGATTATTTAGAGGATCTAAATTTTAGAGTAACATCGTTATATATTTATTACATTTTTCAACAATATACTTATATACAAGTAAAAGCTTTCGTCGTTTAGC